ATAATCACTCGGCAACTAGATATTGAAAACTGTTTTACATAAACATATTTTGAATTCATTTTATGTATACATAACATAACAGGTAAACATATCTGTACTATTATCAATTTTATTCTTGGTAAATATTACATAGCACCTATCATTTCCGTTTTTGATTTTAGAAGGTTTCGGGTATTCATTTTGAAGTTTTAAATATAGATTTAGGTAAATCGATCATTTTACAAAATATTCTTATAATTACTTTTAATTTACCTTGAATATTAATTTTGCAAAGTTCAATAGATTTTCACTGAAGATTGTGGTTGTCGTCATATTCAACTAAAATACTTTAATTAAAAATAAAATTATAGCTAAAAACAAAATTCATTTTCTTGTGTAGAATTATTTCTAATAAAAAATAATATCTACCTGGTTTTGAAAATGAGAAAAAATCTTAACACAATTTCTCATAAATCGAGCTTATATTTTTAATTTTAATAGCTTTATTGCAATATTCAGTAAGATTGTTCTGCTTTTCATAAAATCTATGTATTTTAAAATTTCTCAATTTAAATTTTCCAATATTAATGACATACATATTTGCTATAATTTTATAAAGGTTAAGTTTTTGAATTTCTAAACAGTATAATAAATAAATATTTTTTTTTTAATACATGAAGTAATGAAAAATCACTAATATAAAAAAATATAACACTGTCTTATTCATTGTATTTATATAATAATTGCTAGAAAAATTAAATTCAAAATATATTTTAATGTAAATGTATATACATACATAAATTATTTAAATAATTTATAATACTTAAAATAATAGGTTATTAGTTTTATTCATAAATTTTTTGTAACAAAATATTCATATTTCTCATAAACTTTATAATTATGTTATCATGAATTTTTTTTTGTTTCAAATTTATTAAAGTTTGTTTTACAGAAAATAATTAAATTCCCCACTATACATATTATAAAAATTTTAATTGCCAATTATTTGAACTTTTTTATAAAAAACACAATTAAATTTTATAAAAAAAAAATAAAATTTTAAAATTTATACAAAAAAGAGATTAATTTTCAATTTACCTAAACTAAATTATAATTTTTAAAACTAAAAAAAAATTTTTTTTGTTAAGTTACATAATAAATATATTCTATTTTTTAAATTTTGCAATTACATATGGCTAAATTATAATTAAATAAAAGTATATATAAGTCTCTTGATTATATATATAAATGTATAAATCAATAAATATATATATTTCAATAGGTATAATATATATTACCGTATAATATAGTTTACCCTTATAATATAACACACACTACGTATGTACATATGAAAAAAAAATATGTAATAATAGAAAAAAAAATATTATTTATTAATTATAGTTAATTAACAATTGCATAATTACTAAATTATTTGCTATTAACAAGAATATTATTTTACGTAATAATTATTTAAATAATTATTTAAATTTAGTACCTCTGTAATATTAAGAAATTTATTAAGTAAATTTAAAAGTATTTATATATAAGCTATGTACATACAATAATAAAGTTTCATATTATATTCATTTCTTTGTAATATTATTATTTATATAACATATATATATATATATAAATATATATATACATATTATAAAATATATGTACCTAAAAAAATATACATATATAATATATGTATTATCGTATTGCTTTTAATTTTTAGGTTTAATTTCTTTTTTATTTTATTATTTTTATTTTAAATAACTATCTTTGTTATATTATACTTAAATTTAACTTTGTTTTAAGAAAAAAACATTATGTATATATAAATATTTATGTATATATATATATATATATATATATATATAATTATATACATATATATATATATATATATACATATAAATTTATATATAATATAAATTATATATTATATAATTTATATATAAATTAAACGAAAAGCTATTAAGAACATTTGAAAAAGAAAAAACCTGGAAACCTATTTAAAATATACATATATATTATAAAAAAAAAATGAAATGTATTCGTATAACACTTAATTAAGATTCTAGAAATGAAACAAATTTTTATAATAAAGAAAAACTATTTTTGTTGTTATGAAATTAAAATATTCTCATTGTGTTTTTATTGATCTTTAAACATTGTTTTTTCTTATTTTTTGTTTTTTTCTTTTGAATTTGAATCAACTTATTAAAACTTATTTGAAGTGTTAATTTTATTAAATTAACTTCTTATACATACGAGTCAATGTTTAGTAAACGTTTTTGACGTTTTTTTTTATAAATACACACGATAACTACAATATGTGCCAGTTATAACAACTATAAAACAAATAAATAAGTTGATAATTATAAGTTTGTTTAAGATAATATTATATAAATTGTACATGAAAAATACTAGATTATTATAGTGAATGTGATGGAATTTTATATGCATTATATTCTATACTTAGTAAATTAAAATAAAAGTTTTATTGATATTGTTTGAAAATGAGAAGTTCGTTTGCAATTTTGCGCATTTATGAAAACCTTTAGTTCATTATTTTTGCATAAATATTTATGTATGTTATTTTTGTGTTAAATCATCGCAAGTTTATTCTTAATTTATGCCTAATAATTTTAAATACATCACAAAATATATAAACACTAAATTTCCTTACAAGTTCGCACTTTTCATTCTAAATGAATTTTCGATACCTATACTATGATTTAATTTTTGTTTTTATTTAATATTATTATTTGGAACCTTTTTTAAAAAAACATTTTGTGTTAAAACTTGCATATTATTTAATGAAGTATATTGAGGCAACTTTCCAAATGATTGAATGGTTTCATCATTAAAAAATTTAAGGTTAAACAAATCCACAACCCAAAAAAAAAACAAGAATATTCAGCCGTATATATTCTAATTAAATTTCTTATTGAAATGAACAAAATCAGTCTAAAATTCAAAATGTAAGAGATTTTAGGTAAGATTTATAGAGTACTCGATTTATATTAGAAGATCAGCATTTGCAAATAAATCAAATCTACTACATCGTTTAATTATAAAGTACGAATAGAAAGAAAAACTAAAATGATGAAATATTGTGTAATGAAAAAGTTAAGAGGTTCAAAATCCAGTACATGATCGACTATCGATAATGTATCGTATATATAAGTATACTCGTATGTATGTACATTATGTACAACGTACTTACTGGATCAAAATATCAAATTACCAATGTTATTCGGAAAATTATGAAAATATAATTTTGCCTCTAAATTATCAGCAAAATTTCTCAAAAAATCTATTATACTTAATTTTTATTAATTATAATTATAAATATAATTTGTTTAAAGTTCTTTTTTTTATTGAAATCGCATCATACTATTTTTTTAGAGCTTTGAATTGCTAATTTGTATATTCTACAAACATTTTATTGAAAAATAAAAAAGTTGACCAATTAAATATTTATTAAATAAATTTATTAATTGCGTTTTTCATTTTCTCTGTGTATTTTTAGTTGAAAATTATAAGGAAAAAATTTTTGAATTACATAAGTAGAACGAAAAAAGTTTAAAACAGGTGGTTATACATACTACTCAAAAATCTGTTCCTTTGTAAGTTTTCAAATTTATTTAGTAATTTATGAAACTAATTCAAGAGCTTGTTTTATATTTATTAAAATATTGACAAAAAGAAGAAAAGAAAATTAAAATTAATTCTTAATTGTTATTTATTAAATGTTTCTAATTATAAAAATAAATCAATTTTAAAATTGGGTAAGATGTACTTCATTATTCCTAACATTTAAAAAAATTTGAGAAACATACGAATTAAAAAGGTGAAGAAAAAAATGAAAAATATGAAGTGAAAATTAAAAAAAAAGAAATAATTGCTATAATTTTCTGCGAAAAGCTTGAAATTAAAAACAAAATTTTATCCAGCCCGGTTCCACTCACAATAAGATTCTTAAAATTTTTAATGGATTTTCTCATTTTTCTTTCAAAATATCATGTGAAAACAGTAAAATATCGATAAAACGTATCACATTACAAAGCAAAGAGCCTGTAATACGAAAAAAGTTCTTCTTACTTAAATATTGCATAATAAGAATATGTACATATGTATGTGATGTTCACTCAATTTCTTCGAGTCGCAAACACACTTAGTCCGCACCATTGCTGAAAAATTTCCTGCAATAATGCTGTTGTTTTTATATGAGTATCCAAACATAAAGTACACTATAAATTCCCATCTCTGATTTTAATTATAGAAAAGTGGAAAAAATAAGAGAAACGGGATCTTTTTTACTTAGAAAAAAAGAAAAAAATAATAAAAAATATGACACGATCAGTGGCATTTAAAGAAAAAACCAGCAACGAAGCCAAAAATTCGTAATATTTCGTAAAAAAAATTTAGTATTGGGACTTGTTAGATATAAAGACATTAGATTTTATATTGCCAAAACAATTTTTTTCCCACCTTTCAAAAATATTCGAAAAAATAAAAAAACCGCAAAACTTTTATACAAAAGGATATTTTAAACAATATCCTAAATATCCTTTTGTACGAAAGTTGTTTGTTCAAATAGCAACAACAAAATATAAATTTACACCTGACAATTGAAATAAGATACTGAGTTTGACACTCTGAAAAACTGATATTGCCATTCATAATCTTTACGAAAGGAATTTGTGATCATTCAAAAGTCTACATCGTAGAGATTATATTATATTATTGTTCGTAATTCGGAAGATTCTACAAGTGGAATTCGTGATAGAGCTGAATATAAATATTTCTCAAATACAAGTACATACCTAAATGCTTTCTTATTTTATTATATTTTTCTACAGTATTTTCGCGAATGATAAGACGATGTTAAATTTAAGAACAAGAAAATCTGGCTACACTTATTAGTAGTTTACATTAAACATTAATCTAGTACTTCAACATTACTTACCTACATACCTATAGTTGTCAGTTTTGCAATAAATTAACGTAAACATAAACATATTATTTTTATGTATAATGGATGTATGTTGGTACTTTATTTGATTTTTGGCGCAAAAAAAACTAAAATCGTATTTTGTATAAAGGCAAAAAATAGTTGTAGTTTAGAGTCTTAGGCACTTAATTTATTAATACTATGTCAGCTATGCTAGAAGAAAAGGATCCGGAACGAAATTCAGTTGAAAATATCCCAGATTTGCTACCTTTATATTATAAAAGACTATTTCCTCATAAACATTTCGCAAGATGGCTTACCTATGGAGGAAGTAAGTAAAGTTGGGAATCCAATTTTATTCACATAGTTAAAAGTTTTGATTTTAGGTGAAAGTTCAATTTTTAGAAATAGAGAAATATCATTTACTTTTGAAGATGACATATATGTACGATATCTTTCGTTTGATAATCCGGGTGAATTAGAGAAAGAAATACGCAACCGAAATCCACATAAAATTGATATAGGAGCAATATATACAGATGAGTATGAAATTATAATCGCGAAAAGTTAAGATTTAGGTAAATAAATGAATGCACATATACATAATTTTTTAGACCAAAAAAGTACAGATCAGCAAATAATATGAAACCAATCCAAAGGGAACTAGTTTTTGATATAGATATGACCGACTATGATGAAGTTAGAAGTTGTTGTGAAGGTGCTGCGGTTTGCAATAAGTGCTGGAAATTTATGAGCATTGCATGTCAAATACTGGATACGGCATTGCGGGAAGATTTTGGTTTTGAACATTTGCTATGGGTTTTTTCTGGTCGTCGAGGTATACATTGCTGGGTTTGCGATAAAATAGCTCGCAATTTAAATACAAAAGGGAGAGAAGCTATTGCAGAATATCTTCAAATAACCAATTCGGTGTCATTGGGAGATAATTCCTCGTTAACGAAAGTTAATATAATAGATAAGCCTCATCACAGTGTTAAACGAGCTCTGAAAATTATAGAACCAATTTTTGAAGAGTTATGTGTTATAGACCAAAATCTGTTTAGTTCCCAATCCGGAATAAATAGGTTAGTGCAGTACATTTCTGATGAAAATGTACGTAAGGACTTAGAATTGCATTTAAAAAGATTCGATACAAGTAACTCAAAAATCATGTGGGATCAGTTTAAATGTTTTTTCCAGTCTCTGAAAGTAAATTCTGGATTAAGTTACAAGCTTAAATATATAGTTGAAGAAATTCAGCTAGCTATTTTGTATCCGCGTCTTGATATAAATGTTACAAAAGGATTTAATCATTTACTGAAGTCACCATTTTGCATACATCCTAGTACAGGTAAGGTATGTGTACCTTTTAATCCCAGTGCAGCTGGAAAATTTGATCCCACCGTTGTACCAACTGTTAATACTTTGGTAAATGAAATAAGTGCATTTGATAAAGATATGAAAGATGATGATGCTGAAGTTAACCGAATAAAAGATTACAAGAAAACTGGGATGTTCAAAGGAGTATTAGTATTTGATGAATTCTTAAGAAAGCTGGAAACAAGTTGTAAAATTAAAAACAATAACAATACAAAAATGGATTTCTAAATATGTGTTTTATTTTTTTTTAATGTGTTAACTAAATATCTTAGAGTTTAAAACCTTTCTTCGCCCCCTATTTTCTTTACATTGATGTTTTTGGGCAGGCAAATTCTCAAAACGTTTTAATCTTCACGAAACCACCACTTTCAGTATTTTTCCAGTTCCTAAAAAAATTAATTCATACTTAGTATTTATGATTTAGAAAAATGTTATCTAGAGCTAATGAAGTCGAATCAGTAGTGCTATTTTAAAATTTTTAGAACTGTTAAAATGACCTCGGGTCATAAAAACTTGAACCAAAAATTTATAGTCACATTTCACTATTTTCAGTACCCCTGCACAGCTCATCATACAATAAAAAATAAAATCAAAAAAACATTTATTTACATACGAATGTAATACCTCTTAAATATTGATGCACATAATTTTAATTACTTCACTTATGTTTTATGAACCGATTTTAAAATTTAAGCTGAACATGTGCTACATTCCGTAATCCCGTATTGCTCCTTTATATATCAATTACGTACGAAAGAAAACTTTAGCTTCGTATTTCAATTTCACTGTAACCTATCTCGTATGTTCGATAAAATTGAGTTTCAATTTTCAGTGTTTGTATAATTATATCGAAATTGAAAAATCTATTGCCGCCTTAAATATTACATACGTCTGTTGTATCTAGCTTTGTTCTTTGTTCTCTTCCCATTTATATTGGGATGTTGGCTTTATTGATTTTTAATCGTTGACATTTAGCTGATATTTGTTCCATTTATCAGTCAAAGCAATCATTTGCACATGATTGTGAAAATTGTGTTTTAGAACAAAAGTCATTCATTACATTTAGAAACTTAATTTAAAGTAATGGAGTCGAGATTTTAATTTTGGATCTTTTAAATTACTTAGAAAAAACAAACTCTAAATTGACGCCAATAAAAACGTCTGAAGACAGTGCATGGTAAGTACAGAATAGAAAGTAACAACAATTACAATTTAATCGCACTTTTTGGTGAAAATTTTATATCAAATAATTTGGTACACTATTTTGGAAGCTACTTTTTTTAACAGTTTGAAGATATGTTGAGTTTTATCAAGTTGTCTTTTCAATATTATATGTATTTCTTTTATAAATCACGAATGAAATTGTGTACTGATTAAATTAGCTATAAGAGAAATAAAATTTTAATCACTTAGGCGAGATCAATCTCAATTGAACCTTACGAGTAAAAGAACAAAAAAAGGCCTCCCGACTTAAGGGGTTTGAATAAAAAGACTGAAGCAAACGAGACCTCTCGAATTAGCTTAAAGTGCTGTAACAACACTTCCGTGTCTTTCATCACGGAATATAGACAAAAAAACGCGATAGAGCAAACCTAATGGCTTGTCAGTTTGACTAGTTTTAGGAGTTTATGACCATCCAGGTGCGTTTTAGGTTGGGTCCCTCACTATTGATAGATCTTATGGCACGTTGGGTCTGCCTGTCTTTGTCTTTCGATGATTTTTAACATCTGTATTAAAAAAAAAATTGTTAAAGAAAATTTCGACAGAACCTTACTCTGATTGAATTTTTTCACACTATGCAATTCACTATGCAATTTTTTCACACTATTTGAAATTAATTTTCTGTAGTTAAAATTTGCAAATGAAAGATTTCTCTTTAGAACAACCAAAGTTCCAAACCATATTGTTTAGTTCCAAAACCATATTATGATCATGTTGGATCAGCCAATGGTCAATCGTGCAAAAGTTGATCAAATAAATCTAATTTTTTCTTTTAACCGTTTGTGATCAAAAATACGTACATTTTGTTCAGTTGTATTTGAATTGTTTATAAATCTTAAATTATGATCAAACATAACAATACTGAATACTAAATAACGAATACATTTAGTTTCTGGATACTTCTGGGTTTTACCGAAGAACTTAAACATGGTTTATCCAACTTTTGGATTCTAAGATACAAAGTTACTTAAATATAAACTTTGCTAAAAGTAAAAGAAATATAATCAAAGATCTTGTTTCAATATGATCATTATTTGATCACTTTGATTTAACACTTTACGATTATACGACTATGACATTTTAACCATACATACGACTATCAAAAATATGTTAAGCAAATTTTTGATTAATAATGATTATTTGGATCACTAAGGTCATTTCCAAGTTTTCTCCGTATTTTAATACACATTGTTTTTTTTTTTCAGAAACCTTTGTATACTGAGAATAATAACCTATCGGAAACATCGCACTGAGTCATTTATCAAAAAACTTAGGGTTTTAAATTCTACACTAAACTGTCGCACTTTGCACCAATTTTAAAATAAAATAGAAGTAAATATATATTTACAAAACTATGCTTAAAATGAAGTGAATTAATTTTTACCGTGAATTTAACATAAAAATGCTGTAGGTATTGTAATGCAAGATAATTCTCTTGCTGCCAAACTTTGTTTAATGTTGCATTCACATACGACAAGAGCAAGTGGGAAAGTCGGAAACCGTATAAGTGCTTGTTATGTTTATCGTAAAAATTTTAAGTACATATGTATATTATAAAAAAAAATTGAATTCGTTTGTGTTTAATATCGAGGTTTTTACGATAAATATTACTGTAACTTGGTGATTCTCAAAATAATCCCGTGACATTGAACTCGCACGCCATCAGGCGTGAAATAAAGAAATTGAAAATAAGTCTTTTATATTAGTGTATAACAAATTGTAAAAAAAAAAACCATGTTCAATTTTTAGATTGACGCCGTTATATTACTCTCATGCTCATTTCTATCTTAATCATAAATATGACCAAGAACTTAAATTTGTAAAGAAATCAAATTTTAAAATAAAACAAAAATTATATATTTTTAAATACATGTATGTTACTTAAGGAATGAAGCCAAAATATATCTGAATTTTCGGCTTTTTGCAAAAGAAATTCAATAAATCCCAATTATATTAATCTTCACCAGCAGGGATGGCATCTTCTATTCTTCTGATAAATTTGACTCTTATCTCAGTGACGTTATCCCCCTTTAACTGATCCTACAATTTTTTAGATTATACTCGTGTCACTTAAATAATAATATCAATTGGTACTACCTGAACAAACCAACATTGCACTTCTATTTGAACCATTTCAAGAGCACCACGAATGCAGCCGCAAATTATTGCACTATATCTTAAGTTATTTAATTCGGATGGCAACTCAACAAATTCAGTTAATGGATTCGTGTCGAATATTAGAGAAAATTCATCGGATGCCGCTGACCAATTTGAAATTGTTGGTTGAACATTTAAATAAATGCGGAATGCATTTTGAATTTTGTCTGCTGTTTCTCGCATTTCTAAACATCGAGGAGCAGAAGTTTTGGCGAGGAAATCTTCAATTAATCTCATTCCCATATTGTATCCAATTCTTTCTAGTTGTTTATTTACATCATCAACATTTTCGTAATCACTGAGCATTTGAGTAACAAAAGCCCCGTATGTTAAGGTTAAAAATTCCGAATTCTGCAATAATAATATACATATTATATAATTTTCTTTAAATCTACAGTATTTTTTAAGTACATATATCAAAATGTTGAGAAATCATAAATCACATTAAATGATTACTTTTTATTTTTCTTTTTATACGGTAGGTACATTATTTATTAAAAAAATTAATTTACTATTTATTTTATGTACACAAGTATTGTCTATTGAATGATAGACACACGTATTGTCTTAAATGAAAGGTTTACCCTAAAATCTAGTACTGAAGTTACTAAAAAGATTTAAAAAATGTTTACACTCGCAAATTATATTCAGATATAAACAGTAATGCAAAATTAAAAGTTAAAATCAATTAAATCATCTTCTCTAATTATTAATGTTTCTTCTTGATGTCATTTGATAGGTGTTATTGTAATACTTCCATGCATAGGTGCAATTAACTTGGGCTGTGAAATTGTCCTGTTTATAATATTACTATTAATTTGTCTAATTTCTTGACTTAATGGTTGATTTTGCACATCGTTGCTACCACCATCTTTTGTTGAACATGAATGAAATCGTCCCCCCTCACCACGTACTCTATTCATTGCGTGACGATGTCTAGACTCATGCAAATATTTACTTCTTTCTTTAGGGATTCGGCATTCTAATTTAGCTCGAGCCTGACGTCTTATTAAAATTCGCTTATATTGTTTAGCGTTAACATAAAGTGGTTCCTCCTCTGGCTCAATTTGGGCGTTATCAGACATACTAGAAGCTGTTGTTGTTGCATTGTTTATAGATTCTGTTTTCATTGATGATGACTGATTACTTTCTGCAATGCTGTTAATAGTACCTGTATTAGCTATTGTTGTCGGTTGCATCGAATTTGTAACATTTTGAACGTTTGCAATTTGACCTGCGGCTGCTGCAACTTGCAGAGCTTGGGCTGCAGCCGCTGCCTGTAAAGATTGTTGTGGTAAAACTATTACAGATGGCTGACTAGATTGAATTGTTGCTTGTTGGTTTTGTATTGGAATCTGTATAAGCTGTCCATTGATATTTATTATTTGTTGTTGACCTTGGTTACCAGTCAATGCATCTAATGAAACAGTTGTTTGGGTTGTTGGTTGGGGCTGATATAAAACCATTTGGCCATCAGGTAGTTGCAGAAACTGTACTTGTTGAGCAGCTTGAGCTGCTTGAGCTTGTTGAAGCATTATTTGGGCTGCTGCCTGAAGAGGTAAAACGGTAGCTCCGCTTTGTTGCGGTTGTTGGTTTAGTTGGATAATTTGCTGCTGGCCATTAGCACCCTGAACTATTATGTGACCGGGTTGCCCATTTTGCACTTGATTAATTTGGCTATTAATGTTTTGATTGTCATTATTTTCCATTTTGATTTTTTTATATATGTAAATCTCTTATTATGATGCTTTTTTATGCCTTGCAAGGTTTTGTACTGACAAACAAGTATTTATATGCATAGAATCCAAATTAACAAAAAAATCGGCTTAGTTCTAAAATTGGATTACAAACTTCACTAACACCAATATCTTACTAGGATTATCAATATAATTCACTGTTATTATAAACCTTTGCTTACCACTTTTTTTGAATCTAAACGTGTAGATTGACGAGACATTGTTAAAAATTTTAATTAAACATTTAATTTTAACTCGTTTAGCGATTCCTTCGTTTTGTTTGTGAGTTTTTGTGTTTTATTGTGCTATGAAGAAGACAATATTGTCATATAGAAATAGACAAATGGCAGCACTGTTTTAAAGATTTTGAAATGTGAGTGACCGTAAACTTTGAAATCTTTCAAGATAACATAAATTTACAAAATTAAAATGTAATAGGAAATTTCTTTCTAAAATTTATTTGAAAATTGCAATAAAAATAATAAAAAGTTAATATATTCAGAATTAATTTATAAAAATAAAGGCTATTTACATTTATTTTAAATATTCTTGTCATTAAAACTTAACATTACATTTTAAAAATTTTAATTAAGCTTAAATTTATTTTAATTTAAACCTTAAAGTTATTAAATTACAACAAATTATCGGACGAATTGCTTAGGCAAATACACTAGTGACATTTGCTGCATATTTCTAATTAACTAAAGCTAACTGCGAATAATTAGTATTTGCGAAATTTTGAGGTAACTTTCAAAATTCAATTTTATTGTGAATGATATTTTTTCTAATTACATTTCATATTTTATAATATGTATCAATATCAGTGACACCTGGAAAATTTATTAAGTTTAAAAAGTTTCAATTTATTAAAAAAAAGTTTCATTCAATTGAACACAAATTCGCAAAAGTTTTAATTTAATCGAAAAAAGGTTTCGTAAAATACAAAAAATGTTTGTTATTTTTTATATGCATGTAAATTTAATAGTTCAACCTTTTTTATAACTAAAAATATTAAATAATCATATGAAATATACTATATAATTATTTATGATTTAAATCAAAACTATAATACAACCTTAGTAATAATCTTAAGTAATAACTAATAAGTAATTATAAAAATTAAATAATTATTTTGAAATTAATCTCAAATTATTTTGGAACATACATAAGGTGTTACTGTTTTAATGTTATTTAGCATTAAAAATGCTAAAAATAAAATGCTTTTGTACCTGATTTAACATTGAAGCTAGAACTAAATCTGGCTACACTGGAAATAAAAAATAATTATAGTATAGTATAACACTTTACGCTATATAGACATCTCAGTCAACAAACGTCAAAAACAGAATTATTTGTTCTTAAAATTGAATTAAATACAATATTAAAAATAAAAGTATTCTAAAATCCAAACTTTATAATATAGTTTTTAATTTTTTTTTAAAGAAAATATGTCTGGAATACAAGTTTTAAGTAAAGGGATAAATGCAGGAAAAATAAAAATTATAACGACAGCAGAACAAGAAAAAGCGCTTCGGGATGCACTGCATACGGAAATCGAAAATAAATCTAAAGCGTGCTCTAATAGGTAAATTTATACCGATAATTGCTAAAAAAAGTAGATAAAATAGAATTTCCTGTAATTGAATGATTTTACGAATTACAGAACATATGATTGCACAATCCCCAGAATAGATGGATACGATTTTTGTATACGACATATATTGCAAGACTCTCGGGCGCCATATAAACAATGTGCTTATATTTATTCCAATAACAAGAAGTGTGTCCAAGCCGCTCCTAAACATGATATTAAAAAGGACTCCGCACTAACAAATTTTTGCTTTGAGCATAGTAGGTTAATGCAACTCACTAAAACTAGAAATTCGATTGGAAAGTATAAACAAGTCGATAGTAACGAAACCCTTTTGAATGATTTATCCCATCATTTAAACATTGATAAAAATCAGCCTTTAATTTCAAATAATGATACTGATGAGGAGATCGTTGATGTCGTTACATCTAATGTAGAGCCTTTTGGTAACAAGATATTTTTATATTTTCCAAAAAAAAAAAGAAAATAATAGAATATTTTCAGTTAGCTATAACAGTACGAATAATTTTGAAACAATTTCTGAAGCAGTCAGAGGGAGGAAGCGAATATTAGATTATGCATCTGATAGTTCTTCGGATGGTGATGTGCCTACATTAAGTAACACGTCAAAAGCGTACGAATGGGATACATCTGATGACGAAAGTCTTGATTCTGGGGAGGATGATGTTCTTAAGTATATTTATGAAGATATTTTGAGTATTTAAAAGTGCAATTTTGAATTTCTTAGACATGCGATAATATATACTACAGAAGAAGCTACATTGATAACAAAACAGAAGATGCTAAAACTACAAAATTTATACATGGAACAAATTGATAGGCTTCATCATTTATTAAGAGAAAAACGGAGAAAATATTTGCAGTCTTTGCGAAAAGAAAGAGAAACATTATGTAAGCAATTGCTTTAAATTACATCTCTTAGCAATACTTTGATTAAATAATATGGTAATTTCATTCTTATCACCCTTAAAAATCTTGTTCTTATAATTACATAATATACATCCTATAATATGTGTATATTATATATATATGTACATATATAAATACATATTATTCTTACCTCCGAAATGAAATTATTAATATTAATATAATATAATACGAAATTTCTGCAACAATATTACAAGAAATATGAAAATTTTTATATTATTAGGCAGTATACATGATCAACCAAAAGAAACTCCTCAAGAACGTCGCCTTTATGAAAAACTAAAGGCATTAAATCATTACCATCGTCGAAATGGTGTAGAAGCAGTTTTATATAAAAAGTTTAAAGAAAAACGTTTTAGGTCAGCCGAAGGTTATGTTCAAAAGGGTCCTCATGGACCTGTAAAATGTATTTATACAGAAGGGGGTGTGAAATGTGGCGAAAAAATAATTCCATGTTGTAAATATTGTCGTAAACATATTTTGGAAGACAAAAAACAATGTCTGTTTCGTGCATGTGGCATAGAAAAAAGTGGTGTCATATGCCAAGAACCAGTGCCAAATATTTTTGATGATGCAACCTGTGTGTTGCATATTAGTCTACCAGTTAATCAAAAAATATATACTCAAAAGGTAAATATATACTTATTCTTAAATAGTTATTACTTATTTTTAATATGCAACTCAGTAATTAAAAAAATTTTACGAATCGTAGTTCAAAAATATTAATCAAGAACGATGTCTTTAGAAATAAACGTGCAGAAAATCACAATTGAAAAAATGTTTTGTTTAAAAATCGTTAAATTTTTTGATTACTTGTTAATTTTTTGCAATTAAATTCCACTTCAAAAGTATTAATTTCTATTAAATCTTATTTTCTTTATATTTGAACGTTGTACTATTTAAAACGTGATTTCAAGGGAAAGGTATTAAATTTATAATGTATCCTAATTATTTTGAAAAAAGTTTATGAAATATTTTACTAACAATTTATTTTTTTTCAAGAAAATGAATATACAGACAAAATTGTTTTTCAATTTGAATTTACAGAAATACGAATCTGAAACAGAGGAAGATGATGAAGATATTTCTTCAGACGCTATTAAAAAGGATTTATCAGTCAAAGAAGAAACTATAGTAGATAAAAGCACATTGCAGGACAATATTTGTGAAAATGTAGATAATAACGAAAAAGAAACAAAAAATGATGATTTGAAAATTGAAATTATCGCTGAAAATAACGACAACATAAAAATTGAAACTGAAAGTGGTCCTGCCGATGTTACAGATGAAGTAATGGAATCCGAAGTTATAATAGCTCCATCTCCTGATAAAGATAGAAATATTGAAGATTCGAAACTTTTTGAGAAGAACGAAAAAAGTACAGAAATTATTGAAATTACTGAAAATATTTTAAAAGAAACAAAAATTGTTAATGATAATGAGGAAAAACATATTGAAAAAGTTGAAGATTTGAATGATGTTAAAACTGCGGAGCGATTCCAGCATTCAGATACCAAATCACAAGATAAATGTAAAAATGAAAACGAAACACAGCAAAAAGAAAAGGAAACTGAAGTTTTAGTTGAGGTAATTAATCCTGAACAGGCAGATAATGATGATAAAAAAATTTCTATTAGCCAGAATACATAATTAAAGCTGTTGTAAGGTTTTTTTCTTAATTTTAATTAAAAAATAAAATAAAAAATTTAAGTCCATTTTTAAATTATATTTTAATTCACAATCTAGTTCTTAATAATTTACCAGTTAGCATTTAGATTTTTAAATCTAAAATTTACATTTTCATCGTGAACAAATACGAATATGTATGTAAATAATCTAAAAACCTTATTAAAATTTCTAATTGACGGCCAGTGAAGATTAGCAGCGTTATCGCTTGGTTTATGCCACTGTTTTGGAAAAGGTGTAGATATTAAATGCAAAATAGGAACATCTACAAATAAAAAGAATGAAAAAGAGGGTGTAACAATTTTACAATACTCCCGAAGCAGGATGATAAAGTTAGTTGAAACAAGCGAAAAGAGTCTCGGGATGTTTTTGCTTTTTCGTTCTCCTTATTGAGATATGCGAAGTCTGAAAGTCGCTTTTCGGAAAGCGCCGAACGTTTTCCCTAAAACTCAGGATATATGATACTTGCTTTTCTCAAACAATTGAATCAATTATTTAGTTTATTAACATGAAAAAGCAAAAATTCCATTCATTATTTTTTGTTCGTTTTGATCCCTTCTATCATCCCGTTTCAAGATTATTGTGCAAATGTGTATTAGAAAACTATACTCTACCTCTTCGCAAAAAAGGTCTATGGTCGTCGTCAACGAAGTTATCTGAATAACTCGCTAGAAACTGAAAATTTTTGCCTTCAAGTTGTTTTTCATCGAACAAATTTCTTTCTATATTTACTAAAAGGGAATGTAGCGCCTCTGTGTTGGGAAAAAAATTTCTAAATTTTGAATTTCGTGCGCCGATTAGATCAAGCAGAGCTAAAACTTCCTGAAAGGTTTTTTAATGCATTAGTAATATTATGTAAATAGATTTTCAATGTTTTAAGAAAAAGTTATAAAATAATTTTTTTTACAATTCTATCAATATCTGATTTAATTTCATTTGTTCCTTGAGTTGCAGTTACTTTTTCAGACATTTTTTTAGCTAAATGCCTAGAGCCATAAACTGAATCTTTGTTTGACCAATCTTTAAATGCTTCTTCACCGTCAAAAAATATATACTGAAAAGTATTTTAAACAATGTTAATAGAAAAGCATTAATGCAATAATACATATATTTTAGAATTATTACCAATATACCAAGGTTCGACTTTTGTTTTATTTTACTCAAATGCGGAGTTATTATTTTCGCAACATTTAGCATTATTGCGCATGGAACAGCTGAATCAATGGCACCAACAAAATTTGGATTATTTGGGAAATATTTACTATCATAATGACAAGCTATAGCTAAAAACTCATCAGCATTTGGATTATATTTTCCAATAATATTTGTGAATGTTAAATTTCCAAAAATTGGTGCACGTTCACTAAAGCGATCCAATTCTACGGTCAATCCATAAGATTCTAATTCACTGAAAAAAAAGCATTTAAATGAAAACAGTTTAATTGTGTTATTGTAAATATGTGTATTATATAAATTGCATCCATAAATGTACATATATTATTTTAATACCTTATTAAAAAATCTTGAACTTTCCTATGACCGGAGGAGCCTACAACTCTTGGTATAAGTATTTTAGACAAAGCATATTCCAAATGATTGTCATCGTTTAATTTAGCTAAGCTTAGTGCATAATCAGGTAACTGAAATAAAATACAAAATCAACATTGTATTTTTAAAGATTCAAATTTTATTTATTTAATTTTCAAAATTCTTAACATTAATGTATTATAAGAATTCATATAACGTTCATTTAGTGGAAGTACATGTAAAATATAATTTGATATAAGTAACTGAAGTTAACTACAACATATAACGCGCAATATTTTTAAACTTAATTAACAGAAATTTTCGTATTGCCAGAAAATTAAAATTTAGTATACATAGAATCGATTCTATCTGTTGATTTATTAAATGTAGAATTCGGACCAGAAATTGCCTTGAATTTTCCATGTTTTCAAGAAAGAGAGCAATTTTCAAGAATAAGCATCGGATTAAAAGCAATTCAGAAGTAAAATTGAAAAGAAAGATTAAATTTCACACATGGAATGTCTTCAAAACAAAAAAAAAAAAACATTTTTGATTTTTAATGTACGCTTAGTTTGGATATGCAAATTGGTTTTGCATATGGTACGGCGCTGTTTTTCAAAAGAAATATTTTACGAAAATTATCTGGTATAATAAATATTATATAATTTGAATTGATAAGGATGAATCTGTCTTGAAAAGATATGTATACCGTTAAATTGATTATTGACCGAACTAAGTCGATTGAATTTAGATAGAATTGTTGACATGGCATATACATATTTTTCATGTAAAAATTCATTAATAACTCATATATTTCTCTCAAGTTTAGGCTGTCACATTTCTATCTTGAACAGGTTTAATTATAATGCATTATAATGAATTATCTGTCTTGGACAAAATTTTTATCTTTTCTAATTTCTACATTACTGAGTGTTAAAATTTATTTACTTGAATTAACAATATTCGGGGGCAGATTGAGAATATGAGATAACAAATACTTAATAATAATTACTTTCTCACAAAAACTAAAATTAGATGGAGCTCTCACTTAGTGATTCGATACTCGCAGTCCCATTCTAGATTTGCTTTACATAATCTTGAAATTACTATAAGAATTAAAAAAATACACATTCTGCAAAATTTTTTACCTAAAGCATTTTGAAATTTATTGAAAAACTTCTGAAATTATATTTGTAAATTTGGTATTAATTTGTACGGCAACAATTTTCCCTAATCAATCACTAATATCAGTCATAAATGGCATAATAGGATTATGGTGCGGTCTCTTCTCCTAAAGATTTTGTATTCAAACCGTATGAAGACAATATAACGACAATTACTTTTTAAAAAAGTAATATTGCAAATTTTTATCGTTAACTCTCTCCGAATAGTTAAAAATTTTTTTGACCTTTATTAATTTTTTTTATTTCTCTTTAACTCGCCATTTTAAATTGATTTTCGTTTTTGTGTTTCTTTAAATTCACGCTTTGAAAACTTTAATGAATGCGTCATTCTTCTAGTGTTGCTTTTTGTTTAATAATGCGTTTTGAGGGATATTCTGTGCTATCAACTGTTACATTTTCATTTATAATTAACTATGTATGTATGTATGTGCATAAGTAGTTTTTATGTAATTAATACAATAGATAATAGGTATGTATGAGTGTGTAGATTTATATTGCACATTATGTATATAAAAATATTTTAAATATGCGATGCCATTGTACCAAAACCAAAATTTATGTTGTATATATATGATTAAGATGAGTGTATCATCACTTTCAGTATTTATATTTGCATTTGATTGAATTTATTGATATTTGCAATTATTTATACCATTACTTAATTAATTAAAATAAAAACTAATCTGAGGTTTATATTATAGTAAATACAGGGTCTTTAACAAAAAATATCCTGGATCATAATTTGCAAATTAAATACACATAACTAAAAATATGGAAATAGAATTGGTTTTCTTAGTAACTAACCATTAAGATAACTTAGGTAACTAAAAATTACTTTGAGTGGTGGTTCGATAGAGGCTCAAATATAATATGGGTAATAATTTAAAACTTCAGAACATTTAATTAATGAGCAAAAATATTTGTTATTAAAAGTGCTTTCTAAAAGTTTAAAGAATTTATTTAAGAATTTATTTAAGGGATATTTGATTTAAACATATCCTATGGGAACATGTGTTCCCATAGTGTTACATATGTATTTAGAGCAAGTCTACTGTTTGTATTTGTATATCGATTTTCACTTAAAGGTTATAAAGTTAAAATACCTTAATACACCTAATCATTTGTGTATACAGGCAGAATGTTATCAATTATTTTTATTATATAAATAACACAAAACTACAAACATATAAACGATACTCCAACATATATGCATACAATTTCATATTTTGACCAACGCATATATGTATAAAAGTATATATTAAGCAAAATAGGAAAATTCTTATCAAAAATTCTCTCAAAATAAAATAGAAATTTTTATAATAAAAAACAGTTGCTTTTAAATACATTTTCAAAATTTTTTTTTATTACTTTTATGTATAGCAACATGGTCGCAGTAAATGTTGAGTATAAGATGAAAGTATTATAATGAATTTCTCCCTTTTTAGCATTTAAAAAAAATATATTGAAAAAAGTGCTTGTTAATTTCAGTTTGCCTGTTCTTCCATTCGTATGTCTGTTTACAAAACGTCCACACCTTTTAAAATAGAAAGTTGAAATTTTATACACAAATAAATCTAAATATTATTTCTATAGAAGAAAATTTTTATCTGTCTCCCCCTTCAAAAATTTTAGTCCTTCAAAGTTCTAAAAATGCCATTTTTAAGTATTCATTTTGACGAAATCACAAACATTTTTAAATAAATTTCGCTACCCCTTACTAAATTACCGCTTCACAAAATGTGAATTTTTGGACGCCATATATTTTCGATACTGCAAGATTTTTCAAATTTCTATATGAGTGTAATTATTTATCTTAACTCACTTACTGAAGTGTTCAACTCAACCATTATGTTACACTTGTTGAAATTTTTTTTTCTTGGTCATCCCAAGTAAATAATGTATGCAATAAATTGATTGATTTTTGTATGTGAATCAAAGTATATATTAAATAATATATTGCTGTTGGAAGAGGTGAAGGAGTTGTTAAGAAGCACTTGTTCAAAGGAAAAGTGCTTCTTAACAAACCATTGGTTTGATCAAACTTTTTTTTTATAGTTGAATATTGTATAGAAGGTTTGCCAGAAATTGAGCGAAATTTTAACAGAATAATGAAAATATATAAATAAAGGGTTGTCGTAATGCTATTTTAAAAATTTAAAGTTCGTATACACTAAGTTGATAAATTTCGTAATATTATAAAATAATTGTACTGCTTTAGAATACTTTACATACATACTACAAATTTTTAACAAAATTGAAATAAATCAACACAATTTCATTACAAATGTTGGCGATTTAAAAAAATTTTTGTTTTGGTTCAACTTTTCTCTTCTGTTTGTAAAAGATTTGTTTTTTTGCTAACGGTAATAAAATCAAATGCACGACAATTTTTTTTCATATTAATCAATATATTCCGTACAGAGTAAAGATTATAGAATTTAAAAATAATGTTTATTAACATTAATAACAAAATTCGCAATAACTGGCTCTAGTAAAAGTAATCACACTGTAAAGTCAAACAAATTTTTAGAAATGCCAACATAAATGCATTAAAAAAAATCATTGGTATTAATTAAATAAAGCAAAGCTCTTTAAAAAAATTTAAAATTTTAATAAAATTAGTAACAAAATTATTAAGACCGGCAAAAATTCAATAAAATTTCTTTACCAACATCAACTATAAAAATACGACTATATTAGCCAATCTTAAATTATTTTCATGCAAAAATCAAGGTTATTCAAAATTTTACTTTTGAATATTATTCTATTAATTATGAGTTGACTGGGCTACATCATATTATTTCCTGTTTTAATTTTAATCTTGAATTAGGTACATATATCAGTACTAGCACTCATAAATACTAAAAACTCTGATATATATGTATATAGAAAAAAATTAATATTATTAATTCACAATAAAATTATTAACATTGTTTTCTATTTGTAAAATATTGTTCGGACAATTACAAGATTTCATTATATGGAATGATTAAACATATCTAGATATATGTGTATATTATATTATTGCAATAACAGCAAATTAATATTTAATTCTTGTTTTATTACAACTAAAACATGTAATACACGTATTGGTATTTCTAATCAAAGCTTTTAAACAAAAACAAGTCAATAATACCTACATAAAGCATTCATAATTATAATTTTATTTTCATTATTTTAAGGTTAAAATTTGTGCGGCACTCCAAAATATTTTTAACATTAATAGTTTTGTTTTGTTTTTTTGTGTGTTGTTTTATTAATTTTATTGTATAGCCTATGTGTAAAGGAATACTATATTTACCTTTGCCAAAGTTACGAAATTGTTGAAGGCCAAAAATAAGCTAAAACTCAAAAATAAATTTGTTTTTGCTATTGCCATCTATATCATATATATATATATATATATATGTATATATAAATATTTTAGTTTTTATAATTTAATATTATAACAATGTTTGTATGTAGTTACAAAACAAAAATCAAAAGAAAACTTTTTGTACTTTTACACTCTTGCAAATTCGCAAAACGAGTTTAAATAAAAATGCACAAAATTTAAATTAAAATGCATGTACGATTGTTATACTTAATGTTAAACTTTAAATATTCCAATATATTTTTTATATAAATTTATTAAAATATTTTAAAATTTTAATTCATAATCTTATTTAATTATATTTTTTTTTTTAATTTTTATTAATTAGCAATTCTTATTCTATTATAACCGTGATTTTTAATATACAATTCGTTCAGATACTATAAGATGCGATTGAAATTTATAACCGTACCTTACTGGATCTAAATAAATACTAGTAATTTTTTAAAAACTTTTATCTATACTCCTAGAGGAAGGTATATGAAACATACATACATTATAACATTTACTTTTTACGAGTAATAAATACTTAGATATAATAATATGGAGCATATGATGGTGCGATATGTACATGTGTATAAGTGTATATCGTTTTTATTTATGTGTATTTAGGGGGTTATATAACATAGTGGGGTAATTTGGTATTTTTTGTTTATTTTTTATTTTTTTTTTTGTTTAATAATAATATCTACATTTTAACATTAGATATTGAGTATAAAAATAAAAATTGAGTATATTATGTATTTTAAGAGTAAGTAATAGCTGATGGGAATTTAAAGTATCAGAATTAATATTAATGCAAAATTTCAAATATTTGTTTTTTTATTAAAAAATAAAGATTATATACACTATGTAAGTATGATTAAATTATGAAAATTAATACGGTATTGAAAATAAAAAATTAAAATAATTGTTTTTGACGTTTTATACAACCATCAATTACATTTTTATGGCAGTAAAATCTTTACTGCAATGCCGAAGAATTTTGATACTCGTACTTTTATGTCTGTATCGCGTAGCAATACGGAAATTTTTATTAACCCATATTGAATATATGCGTCCATTTAGGTTTAATAGTTAAATTACAGTAAGGCCGTGATCGTGTATCTCGCTATTTTACTAGCCAAGTGATAAGGAATTGTCTGATTATTACATATATTTGTTTAATGTAATTTTTTAAAGAGAAGAATGTTTTTTATTGCGTATTTCGTTTTTTCTAAAATGAATATGAAATTTAATATTTTTAAAGGCAATAAGTTCATTTGATATGTAGAGAAAGAGCACAAAAATCCTTAAGCGAGACGAAAAAGTAAAATACACAATTAAGTTGTAAATGAGATCAACTTACGCGTAAGTTTGCTTGCACAATTACCAGCAGTCAACGCACATACAATACTAATAAAAAATATATGTTTATGTGCGCGAATTGAAATTTTTGTGTTCCACTTTGTTGATTAAAAGTAATTAATTTTAGAGATTTTGCATTTTTTTTTTTGATATAAAGAGGGAAAATTTACTTAAGTTCATTTAACCAAAATTCCGAATTTTTTAAATTTTATCATAAAATGTTTATAAGATAAGAATGAGAAATATTTTTTTTTATGTTTTGTATATGATACACGTACACTTTATTATAAAATATTACTTTTAAGTAATAAGAATATAAAAAGTGAATTTTTATTTATTATTGAGCATACCAAAACAAAAATATTGCACATATTAAATAGTAAAAAATTAAAAATGTGATAAAACAGTTTAATGTTGCACTACACTTACTATCATAGAAGATTTTCGTACCAAAACCAATAAAGTTACAACATTATATTTGATTTGTCATCACTTGGGACATTAACCTGGTAAAAGTTCTTTATAGGTTTTTTGTTATACCTAATGTTTAAAAATGCTTTTATATAGCGAGTATATGTATATAAATTTATCACTTGTTATAAAAATTCAGTAAAAACTTGAATTTTATGAAAAAAAACCAAAAATTTAGAAAAGTTTTTTTCTTACAGAATATTTTAAATTATTAAGATAATATTTGCATAATAAAAACAGAAATAAGAATAAAAATCCCGTATCATATAATTAAGTGTGGTATAAGGTTGCCAATTATTATTGTAATAAATGAATAATCCTTAGTATATCACATAAAAAATAGTGTAAATAAAATTATATAAGTGACTTTGTTCTATTCATCTTACATACATACATACATTATACGTTTATTATAGAAAAGGATGGCAATAATGGGTTTTGAAAATTGCTCATTGAAGAATATTACATTTCGATATTTTAAGATATTTCTACATATATGTGTAAGTAAGCACACATAAATTTAAATAACAATTATCAATTTAATAAAGTGTTTCAAGTATAATATGTCGAATTAACAAATTTTTCTGCATGTTCATTAGCGTTACGTGAATCTTGCCAGAGAGAATGTACTAAATGACAATTTATGAATTTTAAATTCAAAACAGATATTTTATCATAATTTATTTTTATTCATAATTATGGATTAATTTAATTTATTTCTTTCATTCGTAATTAAGGATATTTGTGAAAGAACATATTTACGATGGCTTAATTTTTCCAAAGGTTGATGTAGGAGGATATTGTCCAAATTTAAAGTCATAAGTTGGCTTATAATGCGATTTTTAATAATATTTATAATAAGCAAGAAATTTATTTATGCACTGTAGTTTTTTTATGTGGGTATTTCTATATTCTGCAAATTTATTATATAAAAATATGTACATAAAAATATTTATAAAATTTTGTTGTCTTATTTTCATATCGTTTCTTATTCCATATACAACTTAAACTTAAGATTTTTATATATTAAACTTTTAAGAACTCTCTAAATATACTCATTATAAAGAGCAAGTTATGCAAAAATGTATACGAGTAGGTATGTATTTATGAAAATCTTTAAGAAAACTTTTTATTTACAAGCCCAGTCGCAACAACAACTTTTAAAATAAAAAAGTATAACCTGAATCTTAATTTCAAGATAACACTTTTTCTCTTCTATTCTAAATTGAGGCCAGTTATAACTCATCTTTTATTCTACACGCGATAATGAACATATACATGTACTTATGTATTAATTATTGTACTAAAAATATTTAGCCAGTCAAGAATATAATTGTGCATGTATTTACAAGTCTATTTAATTTGTTATATATTTATGCAGTTAGTTATATAATGTACACCTGTTTTATTCAACAACACAATTTTAATTGTTGATTACATAGTAGGCTCCATATACTAGATTACTATTAGGCAAATATCCATAATTGCAATTTGTTAAGTATTACTGTACTACTGCATCATTTGGTTTATAAGAGCCATAAATGCTAAATTATGTAGTGATACAGTTTTATCAATATTTCGATACCAAAGAGACTAAATTATTGAAAATTTTTCAAAACATTGTATCTGAGTAAATACATACCAATTTCAGATACTAGTACACAATCTCAAATAAAATAGTTTATTTTGGAATATAGCATTTTAGTAGACACTCCTTACTTCCTTCTTGTGTTCCAAATTACAGATTTTATTTTTTTTTGTAAAAACGTAATTTTTAGTTAAACATTTAAATTAATAATATCCTTCTAAGGAATGGCAGTAATACAAGCATAATATTTCTTTCCAAGGATTAACAGATACAGTATAATGCTCTCATAATTGTAACAAATGAGTATGATTATGTAATTTTCTTGTAAATAAAACTAATGTTCCAAAATTATTTTAAAAACATACGTACATTGTGTACATGTTGAATTGTTTTCATACTCATATTATTATTTACTGACTATAAAAATGTTAACAATAAAATTTATTAAAACAGCTTGTATACATAGTATGAAAGCTCATATGTATCGCATATCTATGTAAATAAGAAAAATTTGTAATTTTAATTTTCCTTATACTAAAAAAAAGAAAGAAATAAAAAATTTTCATTAGACATTCATGTGTGCATTTACATACATAATATTATTTTTGTTGTCAGAAAATATAACAGTAATGAAGAAATGCTTGTGGGCATATGCAAAAGTTAAATATAAAAGAAGGTTGTCATTGCATACACGTACTTGTAAAATGTAGAACGCTGGCACACTATTTAGTATATGTAGTTTATGTGAAATCATGTCACATCATAATGATGTAGGCATATACATAATGTGTGTAAATGTTTCATTTACGCAAAAATACGCTTGAGCGGCAAAAGAACTATGTTTATAGAGATCTAGTTTAATTAAAATGTGAATTTAAATTTTGTCTTTTGAAATTATAAGTAAACATAAAAATCTATATTGAGAATGGCTTAAATTGAATAGTCTTTACGTCAAGTCAACGACTTTATATTCCTGACCAGTATTCGGTCAGTAATTTTCTATAAATTTATTATAGGCCCGATAATAGTACTTCTTGAAATATCTTATAGAAAATTGTTTTTATTTTGAGAAAAAGTACATTTCTTCTACAATAATTTTAATTTCCTAAAATTGTATTATATACAAAAAAAATTGTTGAATCAACTATATAAATTTCGCATAGATTATCACAATCTCTGATTAAAATTGTGTTAAAATTTCACAGTAACAATAAAAATTTTTCAGCATATGAAAAAATTAAATTATATTTTTAATTAAAAAATATCTAAAACTCAATTTTATAGTTTTTTATGATGGATTTGTCTTAAAGCTATTGAAAACCCAGTTATCATGATAATACAGACTATCCCATATGTATAAACAATTTCTTTTTGTTTTTATTTTAATATAAATATAAAACTTATAATTTTAAATGAAAATTACATTAAAAAATTATTGAATTGTAAAATAATATTATGAGGGTTCAAATATGTAGTTTTAAGTTTTGCACACACACACACAAATTCAGAATAAAAACATTTGGCATGCAATTTTCTATATTAATTTTGCATAAAATGTAATATAATAAAATAATATATATACTTACTCTTACAAATAAGGTTATCATATGCACGTGCACTTGTATTTTCGTGTTTACATGTACCTACCTGTTTTATATTTATGAGTATAATAATTATACATACAATTTTATATACATACAATTTTATATACATACAAATAACAGATGTTGCATGCACATGAACTATTATAAAATATTGGTAGAAAATTTGAAAATATTGTATGTATATAAAATATTTAGTGTAAATACATAATACTTATAGGTGACAATTGTATATAACAGGTAAATTATTCTAAGTCAACAATAAAATATAATAAAAAGTATTTAAAAATTTTTCTTGTTCAAATTTTGAGCTTTTCATTCACAAAAATTATAATTTATTTTCTTGCTTGCCTTATAAAATATTGTGTCACGTTTTTCAATTTTCTTTTCATGCAACAGAAAAAAGTAATAGGTACATATAGCTACATTATTATTTAAGTGCAACAGAATCTAAATAGAAAAGATATAAGTAGGTGTATATCTTAGATTACACTTATACATAGAAGCTATATAAGAAAATATCTTTTCAACCACCGCCAGTTGTTTTTGCTCTTATTTATTATTCGCATTGCATAAGTTTGGGAGAACGTACTTAATCTTGTTCTGCAAAAAGTAATTCAAATATTTTATTAGTTGATATAACAGAATTCTGTTATTCTATAAAAATTTAAGTTACTTTATTGTCACCAGAATAATAATTTTTTTTCTTAATTCATTTAAAAAAAAATTTAAAGTATTTAAGAAATTATTAATTGAACTTAAATAACTCAATAAAAATTTTCTTGTAATCCATAAATTTTTTAATAAAAAGTCGTAGTTGACGACCATAAGAAGTAGGTATACTTAAGAATTGTAGCTATGTATATACACTGAAATTGATGCCTGTATTCTTTCAAATAAATAAAAAATTAGTTGAGGGAAAAAATGCTCTCTAAACTAAACATTTAACTTGCAAATTTTGTATTCAATTGTATTTAAATTTCCAAAACCATCCTTATATTTACAAAGGATTCCAATATCATTCAATGTTATTCTGTTTAACATTATATAAATTGAAAATTCATTCTTTACGTTAAACAGGCTATTTAATTGTATATTTAATTTATTTGCTGGAATCACAATTTCATGAAATAAGTTAAATATCAAAGAATCACAATGAATTAATTAAAAATTTTTAATATTTTTGTTTTACATATTTTATTACAATAAATTTTTATTTAGAACTTTACAATATTTTGTTTTTTACATTATTATTAATACAGAATCGAAAATATTTTATTTTTTAAGCAAATTTCTTAACATTATAATACTAATAGTATAAAGATAATTTGAAATCTAAAATATACATTTTAAATACATTATTTCTGATTTTAAAGAAGAAAAAATACATGTACATACATATATACCGAATATTTAATACAAGAAAAGACGAAATTTTTTAATTGAAAACATTAATTTTTTCAATCACGTTATAATTACAAAATTAAGAAACGAAATTACAAAAAGAAAAGAAACCGAATGAAAATTTTCACAATCACAATTTTTCTTCAAAAAGGACCAAAAAAATTACTTTAATTTTGAAATTCACAAATTTTTTTAGAATTCAACTTAGAAAACGACAAAATAATTCGAATTGAATTTAGAATTTCTTCACAAAAATTTTCGATTCTAAAAACAACTAGGAAGTAGAAAATAAATGTTTCTTATTTATTTACTTTAAATACAATTTCTTTTTATAAATTAATAAAAATTTTTTAAGTTAGTTTCTCGTGAAATCTAAAATAATTATTATTACTAATTCACAAATCACAGCTTTTTTCTTTAATTTTTCTCTGTTCTCTGTGCAAAATGCTAAATCATTTTTAAAAATATACTTAGCAATTTAAAAACAATCATTATTAAAACAAAATTCATTATTAAATTTTTTGTTTTCTAATAAATCTTTGTTTTGTTTCTGTAATAAAACCAATTGCACATGGAGATTCTCTTTTTCTTTTTTTAGTTAACTTAAATTACATTATTAATATCGTTCATTTTATATTAAAATCGAACTATAATAATAGTTTTGAATTTAAATATTTTAAACATCTCACATGATCTGGCACCATAAAGTAAAAACTTTATATTTTACTTTCCTATATACCATACAGATTTTTAATTAAATTTGAAATCAATTTTCAATTTTATTTTGGTGTCCAATTTCAGCTCTATAAAATAATATTATATAATTTATATTAAATTAATATAATTATTTTTACAAGTTATATAGACAATTTGTTATTACAAATGTGCAAAGCACTTATTAATTACGATACAATTTTCTTTATTAGTGTTTTAAATTTACCAATGTTACAATATTTAAGATTTTTAAGAACAAGAAGGAGAACAAGTTTTTTATTATTGATGTTAAAATGTTGGAACACAAATTCAGATAATTGTGAATACCATTCTTAATTTAAACCACTAATTTTAAATAAGAATAATTCTCAATTATAAAAAATTATTTTGTAGAATAGAATCTATATATATTTTTGATTAAAAATTAAATTAATTTTGTAAATTTAATTACACCATATTGAAGGGTAACCAACTTATTTAAAACTTTGGGTTAAATTTTATTCAGCATGGTTACGATTCAATAAAGTTAAAATTAAATTAATTTGATCCTGACAAAGTGAAAATTTATAAAATGTTCAGCAATAGTTGGTTTAAATTCGGAATGAACACAAAAAAAAAACATACACAACTACAAAAGTCTATACAAATATTACAATTTTACATAAAAACTAAAGACTATCTTTTAATGAAACAGTACTGACTAGATATTCAGAGCTTCGTCAATACAATCAAATATTATATAAAAAGGACATCTAATCAATATATATGAAATTACATAATAAAATATTTTATATATAAAATAAGAAGCTATATAACAGCCAAATTTACTATTTTAAATATTATTTTATTTTAAATGCCGTGTCTTATAATAAAATACAAAATTTAAAATAAATTAAAAATTAATATGCTATTATGAACTTTAAATTAAAATAATATTATGTTTATGTATAAAATAATAGTAATAATATAAAAAAATAAATAAAATCTATATGAAAATTTTAACTGGAATTTTTATTTAAATCAATTTTTCTATTTGATTGTATTGATCGTGTTGAATATCTACTACGTATTGAGCGTCTTAACATGCTTGAACGTACTTCAGCTTGACTTTGTGCTCTCAGTGATGCTCCAGTTTGTGTTGAACGTACAAAATATTGTATATCTTGTTTTTCTATATCAGTTATTTCATCATCAACTTTTTTATTAAAGCATGGAAAATCTAATATACGTTGACCTCGTCCAAATTCTTCACCATCAGATAATGATTGTGGTAATTCATGACCTAATGTCTCTGGTAATAATAATGATAAACAACCTCCAATAATACCAAGGATTCCTAATACTAATAATGGTAATATTGGTGTTATATAACCAAGATATACAACAAATGGTGCTAATATACTAGCAACATAACCCATAATATGTATAAGTGCAACACCTTGTGCACGTACAACTGTAGGTAATAATTCAGCTGCATATTGTAATCCAATATTATATGATATATTAACACTAAAACGACCAAATATTGCTAATGCTGCTGAATATGGCCCAATTGGTACTGTACATGCCAATAAACTGAATACACCACTTGCAACCATAGTACCGAAAGCTAACCAACGACGACCCCAACGATCTAATGTTAATGTTAAAAATGTATCAGCTGGTAATTCTGTTGCACATGCTACAGAGAATGTAAAGAATAAATCTAAGCCAAGTGAACCAACGTTTCGTACATGTCCATCAAATACTAACGAAATTGCCATCCATATGACAATAAGTAAAATTGTAATACGACGTAATCTTGGTGTTTTAAATAAATCTAATACTGAATAATTATTATTATTAGCTTCTTCTGCTTGTATTTTCATACAACTATCTTTGAATTCTTGATATAATTCTGGTTTAACAGTAGCTTTATTAACTTTTTCGAATTTTTTCAAAATTATCAAAGCTTTGTCAATTTTTCCTTGTGATACTAACCATCTACAAATCAAAAAGAGAAAAATATTATTAATTTATATTTTTATTTTTTTTTTAATTAAATAACTTTTAAATAATACCTTGCAGATTCTGGCACCATCCAAGGTGTAAATATAGCTAATGCTAATGGTGCTGATGTAACAATTGCAAATAATTTCCAATCAGCTAAATAATATGCAATCCATGGCAAGCCGGTAGAGGCTATTGTAAAGAATATAGCTATTGACATATTTGCAACAAATGTACGCCATTTTGGTCCAACATATTCAAGTACTGCAAAAGTTTTTAATAAAATATAATATTAAATGTAAGTGGAAATATTATTTACTTATAGTAAAAATTTAATTTATATAATTTAATATAGAAATGTTTGCACTTAAATAACCTTTAAATATAAAAAGGCTTTAAGTGAAGTTTGAGAGAAGAGAATAAAATTTATAAATTAGCATATAAATTAAAGTTTAAGTTCGATCAAAAGAGACCACTCTTTCTATATAATACTAAATTTATATTCAGTACGTGATCTTAATTTTATAATATTGCAAATTTTATTAAAACAAAACAAAAATTTTTATATTTAAATAAAATATTATTTGTGTTTGTTGTTTTAAGAAAAAAATGTTGGCACAAAAACATTGTATAGCAATTTTAAAGTTACTTAATCTTTTAGTGTACATTGTACATACATGATTATTATAAAATTTAAGTAGCCCACTTTTTATAGTTTATGTTTTAAGTTATTTTCAATAATATAAATAAGAATAATTCAAGGTTATTTTTAATTATATGCACGCAGATAAAGTTAGAATTTATATTAGAAATCTGAAGGTCAACTTATACTAATTGTGATTCAAATGTACTGCATACACATTTTTCAAAAATGCAAAACGAAAGTATTAATTATTTATTATTGCTTATGATATACTTAAACTTGTTTTTCAAATGTACATAATATTTTTCTATAAATTAAGACTTTAGTTCTTATAAAGTATGTGCACCTACTTATATTCTTACATATTATGAAGTAAATAAAAAATATTAATTTAGCAAGTATATATGTTTTTAACCTATTTCTAAAACTACTAAATAGGATAATTCTTTTTAAATAATGAATTATGACAACATTTTATAATTCTATGACAAAAAATGTGGTAATTTTTCTGCATAATCATTGCATTAGTGTCATGCATATTCATGAGATACATTTAACACCTGTTTGAAATATGTTTATGTAAATGGACACAATATAAACAGATCTTAAATAAGTCTGATTAAGAAAAATGAAATTCTAAAAAACTAATTTTAAAAAATTAAAATTATGACATGTAACATGCTTCTATAGGAAACGCAAGCATTTTTATTTAGACTATAAAGAAGAAATAATGTGTGTTTTCGACTACAAAATATTTTGTATTGCTTTCATTTTTAATACTTTCCAAAAAGTTTTGAAATTAATTGCTTATTATAGTTTCACTCTGTCCGAGTGTCTGTTTAGAATCTTTTACACCTGACCATTGGTGCAGTGGTTATGGCACCGGTTCTTTAACAGAAGGGTCTCCGGTTCAAACCCCGGTCTGGTCACTATAAAAATTATATTCAATATTATATAACCTAATATACAATACTAATAATTATTATAGAAGCAATTTTCAAATATTCATAATATTCTATATTAAAAACTAAGAAAAATAAACAGTAAATATTAATAAACTTAAATATTTAATATAAATAAAACTACGGCAGGCTACTCACCTACCTAGTTATCTCTATGACGCTATGAAACTAGGGCATGATGATATCATGCACTAGTCCTATGCTCCTTCTAGTAGTGAACAAGGAAAAAAAACACCCGACACTGAAATTTCATACGTAAAACAGAACTTTTTACTAGAAATTTATTTCCATAGAAGAAAATTTTTACCTATCTCCTTCACCTTAAAAGTCATGGCCACTCAAAGACCAAAAAATGCCATTTTTTTACTATTAATTTTTATTAGTAATTTTGATTAGTAAGGAAACCATACATTTTTAAATTTTTTTTTTTATTGAAATTTATTAAGTTTTTTCCCACCCTCACCATTTCTCAAGTTTTCGCCTCTTATGAAATTTGGGAAATATGAATTTTTGTGGACCTTATATATTCGAAACTGCAATTTTTTCTAAATTTCTATAAATGCAGAAAGCTAGCCGTAAATGCCAAGCCATCAAAGAACATAATTATTTTTCTTAACTCACGCAATTGACCCTTAAATTCGAGCGTAATGTTAACGCCTTTTTCAATTTTTTTCTGTTTTATTTTAAAGATTTTCTCATCCCAAATGTATGCAATCTTTAATTTATATTCGTATACAATTCGTAATTAAAATATATTCGTAATAAAAATAATTTTTGAATAATGTAGTACAGAGCTAGGTTGTAGTACATTGGTTTGACCTAACTTTATTCAATTCAATATTTATCATTGTCTTGTCGTAAATTCTAGATTTTGTACACAATTTCAAAAACTGAGTGTATTCATTTTTCAAACTCATTTATTTTAGTTACTCATGACTCAACGTACTACTTTGATTCAGAAGAGGTAGGAAAATTAATAAAAAAAAATTAAATGAAATTATCTTTAATGTAAATTTAATGATTTGATTATTGTTCTATAGTTAAAGAATAACTCTGCTTTGCAGTTTAACCACTTAACATTATATTTTTAAGATGGCTCATTTGATATATTAATTTTTCATAACTGTTTAGAAATTTGTACTATGTAAATTTGCATATGAAATTTGTATATTTCTCTGTACAAAAATTTAATATTATATGGCTTTAATAGTTTTTGAACTATATACGTACGATGTAGCTGAATAAATTTTTAAGCTGTAAAGCAGCTACTCGAACTACTGTCTTGACCAGATCCAATTTAAATAGGCTCTTGGAATCTGTTATTGTAAAACATTGATGAAATTTAATTAAATAGCGGTGTTATTCAGCAAACGTCAGTTTTGAGGTAAATTGAAAAAAGGAACAGCAGTAAAAATAAATAAAGTTTAGTTGGAAAACTATTCTTTTGTAAAATTAGTATAAAAGGAACGGTCACTTGTAATAAAGGTTCAATGCAATATTTTTATGAAATAAAGCATAATTTGTTTTTTTGCATTAATTTGCATTAATTTATTTTTGATTAGAAAGTGACATACTGATTTACAGTAATAATTGTTGAGTTTTATAGCCTAAATTTTAAAACTTAGCATAGCCTTAATTAAGTTTTCACTACAACATTTTTTATATTTCAAACATTATTGTCATTCTAAATATATATATATAAAAAAATATTTTATTAAAATCATTGCTACTGTTATTAATTTCACGGTTTTAATTAAAAATGTATAATATGTATAATATAAAAATATAGTTACATTTTAAGTTGAGCAGAGGAAGGAACTACTATTTTAAATTACTATTTTAAAATACAGAGGAATTACTATTTTAAAATAGTTATTAAAAAATATTAATAAAATTAATCACTTATGAGACCTCAACGACAAAGTTGTCATTATAAAAACAGAAAAAGTTTTTTAAACATTAAAAATTAAGTAACTTGAAATTTATAAGCACGAATAAAAGCGATAAAAATCGTAGTAGAAAATATAATAGCACTTTTATTGTCGGCTATTCAAAAAGCAGAATAAAAAAATTAAGAATTTACTTATTTTGTGATTCAACAAGTTTAAAGTTCATTTATGCGTATACAACAATTATAATGTGATGAGGTCAATTGACTTGTATCTTTACAGTCTTTAAATGCAATTCAAAATAACAATTTCAAAAATAATTCTATACTAAGGTCTTCTTGACATTGTTAAAAGTATACGGGAAATTTAATTTTGATTATTTTGTTTTATGTTTTTCGCATAAATTTCAACGTAGGTTAACAAACTACTTAATAATAATAATGAAATTTAATCATTTTTTGTAGGTCTAGCAAAATATTATTATTTTCTTTTTGTTTTTTTTTTTAAATTAATAGTATGAAACAACTTACCTAAAATGTACATCATAGTAAAACAATTATCAAATGCAAATCCAACTAAGAATCTACATAATGCAAATTCCCAAAAGTTTCCAACAAATGCTGTTGCAACACCAGCAATAAAACCAATCATATTACAACCAACTAACGATGGTACTCTACCAAAACGATCAGCAATCCAACCGAATAATAAACCACCAACAATAGCACCAACAAAAAATACTGATTGACCAATTGTTGGTAATGCATTATGCTCACATACCCATTCTAATTGAGTTGCCAAAGTTTCATATGGTATTTCAGTAAAATTAAAACTCCAACCATTTTTACATGACGTTATTGGCCATGATGGATCAGCAATTTTTGTACCATTATTTAAAACTTCAGTAAAATTAACATTATATTGCATACATTTACTATAACTTCCATCTACATCAAATGGAATTGATAGAGCTAATCTGTAATGTACAAGAATAATAAATTATATGTTATTAGTAAAGTTGGCAAAATATATACTAAATTTATTTTATATACATATATATTTAGTTATTTAAATATATTTGTATGTATAAATTAATGCATTTATTAAAAAAGTAAATAAAATTATGTTTGTTTTTTTTGAACATGCAAGGAAATCTTTAAAAATATTGTAAAATAATCTCAGTGATTTTGTTAAAATTGAGTGTCATTGAAATAAATTATGCAGAGTGACAATATATACCAACATTTAAATCATAATCATTTAAAGATTAAATTAATTTTTGCAAATAAGAACAACAAATTAAAGAAATTAACTAAACCAGAGTTAATTATTATGTAGCATAATACAGCAAATATCAAATTACAATATTTAATCTAAAAAATGCATTTAAAAGTAAATGAAACCACGATTGTTATTATATCAGCGAATTTATACCCACTATAATCTACATAGTCACGAACACTGGTGAAAGATCAATGCCAATATTGGCCAAGATATGTATTTTGTTGCGAGAAACATTTAAAACTATAATATCAAAAAGCAAATGTTCATGCTAAAATATAGTTTAAATATGAAATTCTAAATTAATTATTTGAAATTTACATGAATATTTTTTGATATATACTCGTACTTAATCAAGAAATTGTAATTTTTCTAATCTGATTAAATTTAACATTTTTAAATTATATTATATAGTGTAACAAAACTAAAATCTAAAAATTGAAGCAGATTCTAATTAATGCAATTAAGTTCTCAGTTTGAGTTCAAGATAACTTGCAGATTTCACCTCAAATTCTACAATAGCTGAAAATAGAAACATTTAAATTTTCATTAATGTTGAACTAGTGTTGATATTTAAATAATATAAGTGAGAAAGTATTTTAAACTCAAATTTCCTAAATTACTAATTTTAAACAAAAAACTGATTGTATATTAGATTAAAATTCTATTAATACTTTTTGATTAAGATATTTTAATTATACACAGTTTCCTTTAAAATAATTAAATAGTTCCAATTTTCCAATTAAATTTGAAATAAAATTTTTCTAATTTGCTTATTATTTAATAAGTGTATGAAGAATTAAGGAACTTGTTTCAGTAGAATGGTTTGTAAAGTACTGCATTTCCCGTATTTTTTCATGTCATTTTAAACTTATTGCATAATTTCAGGATCAAAATATAAATTGAAAGGAGCATTAACATAATGATTTAATATCATAAAATCTCATTGGATTAGTTAAGCTTTAAAGAAATTTAAATTCATAGTTTACAGTAAAAGACATTTTTAAAAATTTTGCAAATTCTACAAATTTTTGCTTATTTTAAGAGCTCAGATTTTTATTTTAAATGAAGTAAAAGCTTTGAAATCTGTTTTTTTAAATACGAATAACGCGAGCAAGGTGAAGCTTGAAAAAAAAATTTTTTTTACATATTCGGTTGGTACCATGCTAAAAATACATATACATATAGTATACATATATGTTGTTTCTGGTACATATTTTTAAAACTTCCTGTTATTTTCTATAAATTGCAAAAATTATAATTAGTTTTAATGACATTTCCTATTGCTTTAGTTTTGCGCCTACACAATACCATATTTAAAGTAATTTTCATTTATACATGTTTTAATTTTATCGATTAGAATTAAAGAATTAGCATATAAAAAAAACGTAAATTAAACTTGGTTTTTAAAGCTTATAAGACTAGAATCTTAAGAGAAAAACAACAGTAAGTAAGTCAAGATGAAGCAATACACGTGTTTTTTAAAAAATTTTTACATTTTCATAGAAAAAGTAAATTGCATAAAATTCATGTGAAATCCAGTTAAATAAATTTTCTTATATAATCCACAAACATTATAGCACAATTTTGCCGATTAACTTAAAACATAATTACATTATTTTGACATCATGACATAAGATCATATCGAAATATGACATTATGACATAAGAAATCGTCCAATTATCTTGTGCATAACCTGGAATGCCACTAAGGAAAAATGATTTTGACGGGAAAAATAATCCATTTTACATTATCTACAATAAAAATCAATTCTTGCCTTTTATTTTTTTTTGTTATACTTGCTGAACCTCTACCTATAAAATAATAGTTTACAGTAACAGCTTATAATAACTTATAAAAACGAGCATAGTAATAAGTGAACTACATGTAAAATGTTAAATTTAAATAAAAATACTTTTTAGGACAGTTATAAAAATTAAAGAAGCTCACATGAAAAATAGCTTCTATGCAACACCAAATTAAAAAAGATTTCTCCAATCTTCCAGGTACAAAAATATAATCTAATTTCTGAAGAAATATTCCAACAAAGCAACCCAGGCATAAGTATATAAATAAGTGTTATACCATTTATAATCCAAAATTATCAAATACAAAATTTTGTGTTATAAAATTCAACGAATCTAAAATAAAATTAGATGATTTTTTATAAATTTCAAAATACGTACAGGTGTAGATATTAGAAACATTATGTTCGCTCTCGTTTCTCGTTACCGAAATTTCCTGTATGATTTTAAGTGCATTTAGACATCTTTATTTTTTTTTAATCGAATAATGAAAGACTATAAAGAACAATAATTATTTAATGTAGGTGCACATATAAACCTCAAATTAACATAATAATTTCCTGAAGATAAGATTAAATTAATTTTGTTTTTTTTTTTAATATTATATTTTATAATAAAGCTTATGTCAAAATTTTAAAAATAAAATTGCTAACATATCAATTATATCAGAATTAAATTAAATTCACTTATACTTATATACACATATAAACTTTCAAGTTTCATAATCTTAAAATTAGTCAGAACTTAACCATTCGATTATAAAAACTTTATAATATATGTGCATTTATTCTTAAAGTTATATGTACAATCTATATTTACAAAATAAATAATTCTTTAGATCCAATAAAAGAATATATTAAAAATATTAATAAAAATGCACACACGTACATATTTAAAAACGGGTATAAAGTAAGTACACTATTTTATTTTGTTTTTGTTTTAGTAAAGGCTTAGCCTTCGTACGAGTATGTTACGCTTTAATGCTTTTTTAGACCTTGGTTGGACATAAAGTTATTCATTTTTTTTTAATTTTACTTTTTCTGTAAATTAGTACCGGCTAAAAGAACGTCTACAGTTAGTACAAATATGTAAATGTGTAAAAATATAATATGAATTATATTATTCTACAACACATATTATTTACATACATACATATAATATTATAACGATACTAACTGAGTATGTACTTACTAAGTAATGAAATAATAATAATCATTTAAATTTTATATGCAAGTTAATCATTTTTCCCCGTTTAACAGACCACTGTATACATATATAAATATTTAAAATTATAGGTTTTTGCTAGAATCAACTTAGTTTAAAGTACCTAGCCTAAACTATTGTTATAGGTTTATAAATTCATTCTAAATATGTGTAAAAGCTTTTCAACAGAGGAAAAAAAAATATTTTCATAATTACAATATGATTTTAGTGTGATATCTAATTAAAAATTTTCAGATTTTCAAGCATAAGCATATAAAATTGTTGAGAATTTTCAAATCTCAAATTAAAAAAATAATTTATTGAATGATTTAAAAATTTTTAAAATATAGAAAAAATATTTGAAGTCAAATGTACACGATAATAGTAAATTGGTAATCTTATGAAAAACTAATTAAGAATGTTGTACCTACAGTCTCAGGCTATTATGAAAGCGAGGACCTATTATTGTATTTTATATTCAAAAAATTATTAATTTTATTGAAAAAGTATAACAAATCTAATTAGAAAAATGAATATTCAAGTTTAAATGTCACGGAAACAGATGACTCCATGATGATGTATATCCATGACAGCGGAATTGAAATAAAGCCCTGTATCATTCTATACACAAAATTCATATCTATAAAGAAATTAATAACAAAATACAATCTTTTTAATCTGTAAAATCCGTTATAATTTTGTTTTAGATGCTTTAGTGTTCGTGCTACTAACAAACTGCAACCACACATGTTACTTATAAATATTTCATATAAAAAATATTGCCTAGAGTAATTTCATGAATTTCAGAAACGTTTCTAATAAAATGCTGCTATCAAAACAAATTTATTTTATATATATGTATATATATACATAGATAAATGCATTCTTTGAATTACAATTTTTTAAAATTTGTCATCAAATCGGTATTGTCCATGGACTCAATTCAGATTATGAGTGAAAATTAAAAGCAAAAATATGAAAATTATACAAAATATACAAACATATATAGTATTTTTGCAACACAATAGCTATAAATTTAGAATTGGCCCTCGGTTTTACTATTCCATATATAATATTAATATTAAACTTATAATTGAAATTCCTGCGGTCAAAAAAAAAAAGTTGTGCAAAAAAACCTAATTAAAATTAAAAATTAATTCAAATAAATTAATAATTATATAAAAATAGAATTAAATGTGCTGTAAAAAACGGTGGTTAATTTTATTGTCTCGAGTTAGAAGTAACAACCGTATTTATTGAATTTAATTAAAAGTACATCTGTTTAAATGTTTTTTATTTTTTTATTGTTAATTATTGTTATAAAGAAACTATTGCAATTCGTTATCTATTAAAAATAAAATCTTTTAAAAAAAGCCAAATAGAAATAATTCAATTATAACTTTTGTTTTCAAAGAATTGATACTGGATTGAATTTCTGCTAAGAATATAGTTTGGAAAATCTTATGCATTTATATAAAAATTAATAGAAATTTGAGAGTTTGATATTATTAAAATATGTTATTATTTATTTTAATAAGTAAATAAGAATTTCTAGAAGTTTTTTTCTGTTAAATATTAAACAGTACCAATAGTCTTATGAATATCTTAGTAACTCTCGGTTATATAAACGTTCGATAATACTTAAAAATTGAAAATTATTCAGAAAATGCTATAAAACCAAAATAAG